CCGACCAGCAAATACAGAGAAAGCAATCATATACCTATTATATATTAAAAGATCGGGTTAGAATATATCGATTTTCATATTTTGTTTGTTTGTTTGTTTTTGTTTGTGTGTGGATTTTCAAAGATGATTTTGTCCAACGTCTACATTGTGACGTCATGTTGCTGCCCTCGCACAGTGCGATGTGTTATTTCTTGTACCAGACATTCAAAAGTATTGACGCTACGACACCTAACCAACTGTTAACACTGGTACGTCGTACTACATATACCATTCAACGGAATTACGGATAATTTGTCCCTCCAACATAATTGAAGTAAACAAACTAAACTCAAACGTTACATTGTCATAAGAAATATGTGCTCAAAGCAGTCCATTGTACGACTGAACTAGATCATACGGATGTGCTCATGAATCGCTTTCAGGGATGATAGCAAGTGATAACAGCGCACCTGACACACAAAAAAACAAACAAAAAAACCCAAACAAACGTAAAAACAACAAGCAAAAGTAGGAAGTTAAAGAAACACAGGAGTATATATCAAACTACGTCAAACTCGGGAAAGGCAGGAGACAATATACTTTTGACTGATGCGTCTATTGTCAAGATATTCTTTACATGTCTGTAATGAAGTTTCTAAGGACTAACATAAACAAACACAGTGTCAATATCGAGATAGCACAAGACACAACTGTAAATAAGAGGCACAAGAATAAACGAAGACACAAGTTTCAAATAGCTTATACACAGACTGGGACGAAACACAGTATCAATACTGAGCAAGACAGGCTGTAGGTGAGGGCCCAGTCACAAAAACATGCTGCTGCAATTAATACAATAAATTTAAAGAAACATATCTACGTCAAAATGCTGAATCTGTACATGTTCTGACTACATAACATTATGTAAATCTGATAAAACAACTGGAGTTTGAAATACTTAGAGTTGTACCATAAAATTTAGATATCTCCTGCTGAATTTTCACAAATTTAAATTCACCCCTCACCCCTCTTATATGTACATAGCTCTGCGTGTAAACCAGACAAGGCTGTCAACCGATCCCGAGACCATTCCTCCAATGATAACCCGGGGCTTGTTCCTTGTAACTGGTTGGTTAACAGTCAATGAGATTTTCTGAATGGTGATAATATGCTATCTGTTCTTCGTCAATGAAAACTATGGGTCACTAAAGATCACATTTGCATCTATTTTCATCGTATATTCGGGAGACATAAACCCGCATTGCCTTGAAGTTTATTACTCCTTCATCCGTTTTCTATTTTATGCACCTAACTTGATCTCCTTGAAACTACTTACTGTTTCAAATGACACTTTTTTATTACTGAAACGGTTATCTGCTTGATCGTATTAGTATGTTAAAGTAGTGTTTCTTCCTTTAACAGGTACCCCAGGTTAACCTATTTTGAAGTAAACCATATCATCTCACTGACCTTGGTCCCCCTCAACAAAGGTAGGACTATTCATCTTGCACTTCAGCTGAGTGTAAGACTGGTTTCAGCAAGAAGTTACCACATCATCTTCAAGGTTAAACAGAGGCCTCAACTGCCCTGATACCAACGTATAGAATCATATTCACAGTTGAATTTATGTTAATTGCAGTACTAAGTCTCAGGTGACCTATGTTGGAGATAAGATACGATCAGCAACGCTTCAGAAACCTCATACTAGATTGTATTGCCCGACCAGCAAATACAAAGCAAGCAATTAGACGGTAGTCCTTACTGACACCGCCATGGCGCGGTGGGTAGTGCTGAAACATTCCGGTGGGTAGGCTGGGTCGGAGAGGCTTTCATGTGACGGTTGTCCCGGGAACTCGACACAACACCCCAGTAGTGAAGAAACGTTTTTGTCGCTACCCAGCAGGATGTTATACCGTGAAGTGAGCCTCAGTAGTCATGGACTGTTTCACGCAGGCATCAAGAACTTAACTGTAGCAGGCTTTGTTCATGTCATGTAATACTTGTGTCGCAGTATACCACATGGTATGACATGTATATTATACTGTCAACGGTACTTGCTAAACAGATAGCGATCGTTCCTGATCGTTGATGTATAAACTACGCACTATTACAAGCACATACATTAGACGCTACTTATCGTGGTGTAACACTTCCGAACTATATTCACTGAAAACAGCTGATATATTTTGAAACTTGATATACAGGTAAACAGAGTTTAATTAACCGATGGAATTCGATTAAACGGTTTCTGTTGGATGAGTGTTGGTGTTTGTCAGGCCCATTGTTATGCCTCTACATTCAGGAGACATATTTGTAACACAGGAACGACACACATTATGTGTATATTGTTCACATGTTTGTGGAAGTCTGAACAAACCCTCCTTTGGTGAGGAACACACAGAGAAGTATCACAATATCCGACAGGGTATTACTACTTTTGTGACAATATAAATATTTTGTTGTTTATATCAAACAAACGCGTATACTTGAGGGTAAATCAAATGTGAAAACTAACGATTTAATTAAAAACAAATAGGCTTTCACAGAATTTAATAAAATTTCAAATCCAGCGCTTCAACTGTTACATGACATGAGATATAAGTTTACGTTCACCGACGCGCCTACTTACTCGGGCATAAAGTGGGCATATGGCTGTAAATGTATGCTTTCATTTCTTTATATATCCGGATGTTTTGTCCTGTCTGGCTTAACGTATTCCTGACTGTAATAATCTTTACGTCCATGATTCACTTTCCGTTGAACCGAAAATATATTCGTGACGATATACAAACGTTGGCCACTTAAGCTCTTCATTCAACACAAACATAATACCCAATGAAAGAGGTAGGATATGTGGGATTCTTGGAATAGACACTCGAAATACGTATGGCAAAATATCAATAAATCATATCAGCCATACAAAGCATACACATTAACATGGTAGCTGGTATACTAATATATCTTGAGTGGAATATGTATGCTGGCATGACAATAAAATCGATATGAAATGAAAAGAAGATCTGAACAAAAGTGTGGAAAGTCAGTAATCTCTGAAAGACACTCAAGACACATAAACAGACACAGTGTCAATATCGAGATAGCACAAGACACAGACTGTGACGAAGACACAGTGTCAATATCGAGATAGCACAAGACACAGACTGTGACGAAGACACAAATGTCAATATCGAGATAGCACAAGACACAGACTGTGACGAAGACACAGTGTCAATATCGAGATACCACAAGACACAGACTGTGACGAAGATACAAGTGTCAATACTGAGGTGGTCATAAACATGGGTAAGACAGGCTGAGGTGAAGGCACCAGTCACAAAAACATGCTGACGCAAGTAATTTTTCAATAAATTATTAAAGAAACATCGGATGTCAAAATACGTCAAAATCGGGAAAATCTGTACATGTCTATAAGGATTTTTCTGACTACGTTCTAAGGTCTAACATTATGTAACTCTGATAAAGCAACTGTCATTAAGAGGCGTATGAACCGTTTGAAATATTTATAGAAAGATCATGCACAGTTGTATCTATAAATATAATGAAGATACCAGCTGCTGAATACGTTTACACTATAAGCCATAATTCAAAATATAGTAATCATTTTAGCATGCTGAATCTGTTTATATACATAGATCTGCATGTAAAACAGACTAGGCATTAGACTCAGTATGGTCACTTGTCTCGAGACCATTCCTCCATTGATATTCAGTATTTCTTTGTAGCTAGTTGGTTAATAGTCTCTCGGATTTGCAGAACGTGTGGAGCTTACATGAGGTAAACCGTTTTATATGGTGTTCAAGAATATTGCACACGTGCATGATGTGTGTTTGAGTACATGTGTGGGTGTGAGTGCGTGCGTGCGTGCGTGTGTGCGTGTGTGTGCGTGTGTGTGTAACAATACGCTCCGCTCTCTTAACAGGAGATTTATCAACTCACCCCTGAGGAAGTCCCATGTACACAAACATGACTAAAGACACCATACCCGTGAAGATCCGGGTAAGAATTGGTCTTCAGCAACCCATGCTTGAGGCGACCAAGGAGATGGGGTGGTCAGGCTCGCCGACTTGGTTGACATATGTCATCGTATCCCATTTGTGTAGATCGATGCTCATGCTGTTGATCATTGGGTTGTCTAGCCCAGCCTCGATTATTTACAGACCTGGAATACTGCTGAGTGCGGCGTTAAACAACAACCAACCAACGAAAGACACCAACACCATTGTCAATGTTGAGATGTCAGAGCTGAGATTGGTGTCAGCAATATTCCTGAAATGTCACGGCGGGGTACACCAGAAACGGGCTTCGCAAATTATATCAATGTGGGGTATCGAACCCGAGTCTTCGAACGTTTAACCATTTGGCTACCCCACCGCCCCGAGTTGTCTCAGACACGTGACACTGTCAGTATAAATATATACGGTCCCAGATACAAACACAGGTATTATACACAAGGTGGAATCTCCAACATAGACGCGCTTGTGGATAGCGACAAAGATCATATTACCACAGCTCAGAAAGTAAGGTGGTACTGATTTCTTCTGCTCCAGATAAGATTTGTTTCAGAACAAGAGAATACTGTTATTTACTCAATTACGTCTTCGTAAAACTAACAGAAACATGCCAGTGGATACCGACAAAGATCACATTACCACAGCTCAGAAAGTAAGGTGGTACTGATTTCTTCTGCTCCAGATAAGATTTGTTTCAGAACAAGAGAATACTGTTATTTACTCAATTACGTCTTCGTAAAACTAACAGAAACATGCCAGTGGATACCGACAAAGATCACATTACCACAGCTCAGAAAGTAAGGTGGTACTGATTTCTTCTACTCTTGATAAGATTTGTTTCAGGCCATGAGAATACGTCTCTGTAAATTATTTTTAAAAAGAAGCAATTGATAAGAATTATTAAACTATAAGAATTATCATATATCACAATTGGGTTTTTGAGACGTAATGGCATGTCCTGCCCGATGTCCTGTTGTGATGTGTACTCACGGAGAAGAAGATGTTGACGCTGACGGAGAGGCCGATGATGAATGGAATGGACCCACCAAGATCCTTCCTGCCCTTGTCGATGAGGGAGAAGATGACGAAGACCAGGAAGAAGCTGATGATGACCTCCACCAGGAGCGCCTGCTCAGGGCTGACGTACTTTCCCGGCTGCAGCAGCCCGAGGGTGCCGTGCATGTTGGCGGGGGTGATGACCTTGAGGAGCGCCGCCCCTGCCACCGACCCCGCGCTCTGGGCCACAGCGTAGAAGAAGAACCTGAAACATGACGTCAGTGACGTTTAAGCTACTGGGATCATTCAGAAGTTATCTCTATTAATATATCATGATAGAGAGAGCAATATTAATGTGATATACGACTGGAATCACCACAGTGAGTGAGTGAGGAGGTGTGTGTGTGTGTTAAGTCCCGTTTATCAATATTCGAACAATACCAGGTATGGGGAAGGAGAGTTGGGGCAGAACAGTGGTTAAAGCGTTCACACCGAAGACCCGGATACAATGTGTCACGCCCATTTCTGGTCTCTGTAATATTATTGATGGTACTCGCTGACTTGGTGGGGACCTAATGTAACCTTACATTGCTTTACAATATTATTGTGAATAAGGGTGGGATAGCTGAAACCCAGCTAACAATGTTATGTTGTCACGACGTTGTCACAACGCTATTCTGTGGACTCCATTTACGTTGTCACAACGTTGCGGCCTGACGTTGTGATACATAATTTCTACGTCGTCACAAGGTAAAGTTATTTGATGGTTACGTATATTTCGTTGTCTTAACGTTCTATTTAATGTTAATAGTTGAATAGTTTCCTAGTAGTGAACAGTACATAAGAAACAAAGCAGAAATTCAACTCAATGTTTATTCGTCAATTTGTATGTTGTTTTGCTCGTGTGTTTTCTGAAGCTGTAACGGAATAGTGAAGAAAGAATCTCAAAGTGAAAGGTTTTACAGAAATCTATCGTGACACCAAGTTATAAGAAACGTTGTTATAACGTTGCAAGGATCCCAAAGCACAACGTTTCCTCAACGTAAATATATAACGTTGTTATTACGTTGTGATATAATGACGTAATACGTTGTGTGTTAGCTGGGAAGCTTTTAAACATATATACTATTTGAGTTCAGTATTAAGAACCTTGTAATCTCAACGCTTAAATATCACGTAACGAACACACACGCTGACGTTGTAATATGCCAGCTCGACGTTTTCAAGGTGCTGTTATGTACATATCATAGTGCTTGTGCCTCTGATGATGACATTGTTTCTCACAGGTCAGATGTACACATAACGTATGTCATTCACTGCCTATGACGCACATGTTAGACAAACATGGCTGTCCAAACTGTTTTGGGAATGGGGTGCGGGTTGGGGTGGGTGCGACAAGTGCGTGCTGGCGCGCAGTGGCCATTGCAGTGGCTTAGTAATTGTCTGGATCATCGACATCAAACTGAACAGTTTGTAGGTCACTCACAGGACCAATACAGACATGTTACAGACAGATTAGTTGAACATGACCTAAAAGTGTGTCCTTCAACTGATATGAATTCCACTAATTAAGACAGCATGCAAAAGAAATCCATTTCACCAAAATTTCACATTCTTATGACACAGTTGGAATCGTGCAACGAGCTCTGCTCAGAGACGTCTTAAAGAGTCAAAGATTTTAAAGCTTTAAGCTTCAATGGACTCAGTAAAACGTTCACAAGGTTCTATAGCAGACGTTAGGAGAACATTTCCACATCTTACAACAATGAAAAAGAAAATCGAGTTTTATGGATTTCAACTTCTTATTGTGAATAACACGACGTTTCGGAGAATATGCTTGCTCCTTCATCAGGTGAATGGTAGGGAGTACGGGGGTTGGGGGTAGTGGGTATATACATACATGAGGCACTACCAAGAAAACATGTTTAACAATGTTGAGGAATGAATGTGTAATATAAACATGAGGCCAGTGGTACACTAAAACAAAATGGTAATAATAGGGTATGGAATACAAACACGAGGAGGCCAGTGATACAGCGATACAGTGATGCAGTGATACAGTGATACAGTGATATACCGGGGACGGGAGGCCAGCTATGCAAACCAAACAGGAGGCCAGTGGGCTGATGAGGTGGCGATAGGCGTAGGTGACGAACATAGGATGAGAAGTGTGTGTATTTAACTACACAATGAAAAAAATCGATATTCGCATGGTGAATATTTCCTTTACTCGTGTTTATTCAGGGGCACGATTGCCTTGCCTTTGCGTGTGTGTCTGACGGGAATCCAGGAAAAATTCCCCCCCGGACAAAATCCCCCCTACTCATCTTTAGCTTAAGATTAAAGGTTCTTTAATCCTTGTTACCATGTTTTGATAGAACAGCTTCATTAACAATGGCAGAAGAGTTGGAGAAGATTGTTTTAGCTATGTAAACTGGCATAGAAGTGGCAAAACATGGACTAAATTCCCCCTACTCATAAATGACAAATGAATAAATGTCGCATAATGTGTGAATAAATATATGCTCATATTTAAATGTCAAATAAAAACAAATGTGCAATGAATGATGTGAATGTGCTCCAAACATGTGCTATGTGCTCTTTGACCTTGTTGAAATGTTGACAAATAATTAAATGGATATCTTTAACTTGTTTTCTTGGTTTTCCTTGGGGGGGGAGAGGGGCACTCTTTCAGATTTATCACATGAATACGGCGAGTGTTTGGTGGCTCTTGCTGTTTTTATTATCATGTAAAGGGTTTCGTCCACTGTATTTACAAGTGCTGCAGAATTTCATGGACCAGCAGACGTAGGATTATCATATTTCTGACACTAGGCTTGGAGTGCTCCTCACAACGATTGCGACGTCAATTGATCGCTGGGTCACCATTCGGCAACACACCCGGCACATTTCTATTCATTCTTTGCAAGAACTATCCCTATTGGCATTGGCACAGAAGCCATCTCGGAACTCTCACCAATTGTCATGTTCTACGTCCAAGCTCGGCATTTGTCAACATGAGCAAGTGAATGGAGGCAGACCTCTAGGGCTGTTGTGTTTGGATCCATGTAGGTTTGTTCGTTAACATTGGTGTATCGGGCTTAACTGATATTCTTGACAAAAATATACACCTTTAAACCCTATCATATTCCATACATCTCTATGGATGCTCCCATGTTTCAGTTTCTTCTCTGTGTGATAACGATAGGGGGAAGTCCTCCCCTATGTGTTAAATTTATAATGATTTTCATGAGTTCTCTCAATTTGTAGTGTTTTATGTAGGTTGAAAGAACGTATGTATTTAGATAGATTCTATTTTGATCTCTAGCAACCTATCTTGGTTGTTAAAGGCGTCCTAATTGAGTAGCAGGTCAGGATGAATTGGTTGGTTGCCTTGACGGCGATCGCTGCTCATAATAGCAATCACTGAACTGACTGGTCCAGATTATGGATTTAACTGATGTGGCCGTCTACTGATTGTCTTACCAAAATTTATCCAACTTTTGCGTTTCCATCAATTTGTTCCTCGCCATTGCCACTTCAGAAACTCATCACGTGTTGTACTTCAGGGAAACAGTTCTGAACTCAGCAGGTTGCTACGCCTTAAAGCTTAATATCATTTGACATTTTGAAAACGTAAGCTAATCATCTTTATTATATACCATTTAGACATTGCTACAGCACAGAATATAGGTTTAACCCATAATGAGTTTTTGTGAATTGCTAACTCGAACAACGCTCACCGTGTCGTTCACTGCAGTCATTAACTGTAAGGTTTTTTTCTTTGACTAACGTTTATTTGTTTGACTGACGTTTGTTTGTTTGTTTGACTGACATTTGTTTGACAGCCAAGACTCCGACTAACAGCTCTCAGAACACAAAGTACAACCCCTCAATTGAAACTCAGGCCAACGCATTTTAAATCCTTCGTGATTTAGAGATGACAAGCTGATATCACATTTCTACCTTTCAAGACAGTTGGTAATGCGCCCGCGGAGATTGAAGTTCATCTTCACCGATGACACAGATAGTCCTTTCAAGTAACAGGTGAGTGGGTTTTGAGCTCGCCGGTCAAACAGTATACATATTCTATTTTTAAGTTTTAGTTTTAGCGCATGATTCGACATTAACCATTCAGATACACATGTTAGCACAGATCAGCAATAATACTCCAATTAAGCTTACATATCTAGAAATAAACCATCCAAAATGATTTCATGACAAGAACCACCAAAACATCACATGGGGACAACGGCCCAGACGATGAGCATAGGAACGCCCTCATTGTTGGTACACTAAGGATTGGTTGGATTCGAACCAAGGAGCTGCGGTTGCCGGCTTCAATGGGAAGCAACTCCTCTAAGAGCAGCCCGCATGGCTCCTGTAAAGGGATTGTCTACATACTAATAAAGGCAATGCTAAAAGAAGTGACACGTTGATCTTCCCTCTGAGTACAAAACTGCCCCTCGACGTAGTATCGTGTTTCACGGTCGAGAATGTCAACATGTATGCTGCCCAATATTAATTTCAGAGTGTGTGAGTTTGATTTAACAGCAGTGAAACAGTAGTGCTCTGTTAACTTGATTGATTACATTTGCGGATGAAAGTGTTGGTGAAACCACAAATAATGTACGGTGTATACAAACTAAACACAATCAACGAATCTTGGATTTGAACTCGCGACCATCGTCTCCTGGAAGCTAACAAAAGAAACTCCGGATGATATGAGACGTCTTAGACCACTGGGCCACCAGTGTAATGTGTGAAACGATACATTAACACATAAAATAGGTAAGACAATGGCACCTATAACAAGAAGGAAATACCGAACAGTACTTACCTCGCGAAGCTTATTTCTCTTGTGACTGCGAAAGCGAGGCTGAGAGCGGGGTTGACGTGAGCACCGCTGACGTTGGCAAGGGCCGAGATGATGACGGCGATGAAGAAGCCTGCCGTGAGAATGTTATGAACGCTGCTATGGCCGTGTGTTCCCTCAACATGGAGACCTGCTCCAACACCGAACAGCACCAACAACAGACAGCCTATAAACTCAGCGATCACGGCACGCCAAAACAATGGCTTCTTCAAGTCATCGACTTCTTCCGCCATGATCTTCTTCAAGGCTCCACTGATTCCTGAGTGGGATTCAGCTGGACTGTTCAGTGACGTCTGCGACATTGGAGCATGCCAGTGTCAGATACAGAGCGTGATGTTCCAGTAGACGTTATACTTGATGTTACTGTTCAGTGGATCCAGTTGAGTGAAAACTGCAAGGTGGCTCTCACTCTGTGCCAGTTGGGCCAACGGTAACTAGGCAGTGACGACACGGCCTTTAAACGCCCCTTTTCAAATATCTGAAAAACATAGGTTTAGTCTATAAGCTACACAGGGGGGAAATCGGGACTAGTCCATTACCCACAAGGAGGTACATGCATATCTTATTTTATCACTTACATTGAGGAAAAACTAATACCTATTGGACAGTGAATGTGTAAACATCAGTATTCTGTAATGCAGGGTGTATTGCATGACGTCGTCCCGCCCTGACATGTTGAACCTGCCCGGTCCAGTGCTCCCCTGCCAATCAGATTAACGCCGTCAGTTCCGCCTGACTTCACCATGATACACGGGGATCATCCACAAGTGCTGTAGGTGGCGCTCGACAGGGACAGATGATCGCAGTAGTGAAGAACGAGATCTCCACATTGTTCAACCGCCCCTCGTTAAGCAGGGAGGTTACCTGTCCGAATGGTTTTAACTGCATCGCCGTACAGACGTGTACCTGTAATACCTGAATATGTACATCGGTGTAGAATGTACCTAGACCTACACATCCACCTGTATGTATACCTGTATATACCTATGTATCCACTTCTGAACATGATTAGTGTGCACCTACTGAGTGCGTGTGTAATTTTACATACCTACCTGCATATACACGAATCTACATTTATTACACCTGTATTTAATTATCTTACATGTGCCTTTATATACGGACTTGTACCAAAAATATATCTGTACATGGCTATTTTTCTGTACCTGTAGATACATATGTGTGATTGTAAAAACTTATTCAACATGCTTACACCTGCATGAACTTACCTGAACGTGCCCGGCATCTACCTGAACTGATCTCCGTACAGGTACACATCGATATCAGTTAATGTTTTAATTCATCACCAAATCCTCAGAGTATATGCAGCGGTTGCACGCATCTCAATTGCCGGCGTGCAGGTTGATCAATCTCACAAATGAGACACTAAGATCGGTTAGACAAAAATCATTGACGCAACAATTAGTTCGACGCTGATGACATTATTGATTTCCTGTAACATCTGGAGTGGAAACTTTGACTTATACAATGGCTGCATGTTGTATTGTCAGAAATAATAGGCCAGATACAGGTGGGACATGTCAGTGAACTGTAATAATGATATCCAGCATGCGCATAAAACAGCGAAACTTAACGATTATTGCGTGATTCAGTTAGAGGACTGCTGTGGTGCCAGGTGAAGTGAAACAACACATTTATAAGTTGAAATGTATGGACTGTTATAATAGTGCAGGTATTTTGGCCGAAGCTCACGAGAAGGTGCATCGGGGAGAACACCGGGTATCAATTCTGCACATTCCGACTACCATTCAAACGTCATATTCTCGTCAATATAACTACTGTATAGTATTGTCGCCATATATAAAGTCATACTCTCACAATCACCGATATCGCCATACCAAACGTCAAACTCTCGTAAGCAATGGTCTCGCCGTATCAAACGTCAAACTCTCGTCTAAGGTAATATGGCCATAAAAAACGTCATACTCTTGGCATTAGCATCACCGTCATATGCCAGAGGAGGGGGATGTTGAGCCAGATAAAGGTAAAACTAGAAAAGAATCTTTTAAACAGTCATGTTGACACTTACCTGCGGATAAGTATGTGTTCGGTGGAGTATCTTACTCATATATCATGCATGTATATGTATTAATTAACTCACCCGAATTGTATTGATGATTGCTCTCATGTATTAAATATCCGATACGGTTAGCATGTTGAGGAAGCTGCAGAATTGCTGTCGCTGTGTTAGGAAATACGTCTCCACCTACTCAGTCACACTAACACCTGTGATTGCAAAGCGACCTTCCTGTACGGGAGTTCTGGTTTAAAGTTGTCAATAAAAGATCGACAAATATTTGATTTTTTCTTGTCTCCATAGTGTGACGTAAATTGAGAAATCAGATGTAGACTCGGTGGCCCTCTAGTCGCCCCAGGAGGTGTTCCTGTCCCCCCTGCACCCTATGACTGGTATTAAACCACCCTCACAGCTGAATGTGCCTTTATTATATCAGTGTTTCTGATATTGACATGACTGCGATCTTTGACAAAAGGCTCCGCTACTCCTCAGCGTGAATGGCCAGTACGTGTTATAGGCATTGACTGCGGCTGTAGTCATAGCATGGCGCCGTGATTCACGTTCACATGGCCAAGGGGAAACTTGAAAACCTCATCGAACGTCAGTGTAAAGATTTCACGTTTTTGCTATTTTTATAAATGTTAAGAAAGGATTATTTGTGTTTGTAATATCATGTAATATCGCGTAATATCGGTTTGAAACTGGAATCAGAAATGATATTGATTCAGGAGATACAGCTGTAACAGTCCATGTGGGGAGTCAACCTGATCAGTGAGTTGAATTTTTTTTGAATATTTTGGTAAATATTGCGATGAAAAGAAACACTTAACTCAACTGTAAAGTGTGGTTGGAGCATTTTTGAATTGTTGTTTGTGCAATGTCTGTGATGATTTTGGTCTTCAGTGTATATTTGTCAAAAGTAAATTAAAGTCACACGTACAATATTTTTTATCGAAGGATGTTTAAGACATCACAATGCATCTGAAACACAACATAACACAATACAGGACTGCTGTTACAACATAATTATAACAACAGTTAACACATCAACAGTCATTGTTCCCACTTTCGCCTGGCGGTATATCTCCTAATCTGATCCCAAAACAGGCAGAATGTTCAGCCGAATACATTAGAGGATTCTGGAGTCATGCGTAATATGACGCATGGATCTGCTGCTGGTATAACGCTCCCGTTCCGATGTAACTTCCACACTTAACATAGGCTTAACTACAATGGTGGTGTCACTCAGGGCGGCGGCCAAGTGGCCCCTGAAGCTATGAATGTGTGAACGTGTTTTCCTGAACCCCATGGCCTACAGTAGTGACACTACAGTGTGAACATTCTGTGAGAATACCGGGGAGAATTTCATTAACGAACCTAGGTATTCTAATCCGAGACATACATCAATGATAAACGATGTTGGCCAGGTGATATAACCGGTTGTTGGTGTAGGATACGATGTGTATGATGCATCACGCGTGTCATACTCTGGGTGGTATCATATGTTGTATGAATAAAGTATCCATAGTGTTAACCTGGTGTGTGTGGTGTATCACTTAGTATTTGCGCGGTGTATCATTTAGTGTTTGCGTGGTGTATCACTTAGTGTTTGCGTGATGTATTACTTAGTGTTTGCGTGATGTATCACTTAGCGTTTCCGTGGTGTATGACGTAGTGTTTGCGTGGTGTATCACGTAGTGTCTGCGTGGTGTATCAGTTAGCGTTTGCGTGATGTATCACTTAGCGTTTGTTGATGTATCACTTAGTGTTTGCTTGGTGTATCGCTTAGCGTTTGCGTGGTGTATCACATAGCGTTTGCGTGATGTATCACTTGGTGTTTGTGTGGTGTATCACTTAGCATTTGCGTGGTGTATCACGTAGTGTTTGCGTGGTGTATCACTTAGCGTTTCACTTAGCGTGGTGTATCACTTAGTGTTTGCGTGATGTATCACTTAGTTTTTGCGTGGTGTATCACTTAGTGTTTGCGTGGTGTATCACTTAGCGTAGCGTTTAGCGTGCGTGGTGTATCACGTAGCGTTTGCGTGATGTATCACTTAGTTTTGTGTGATCTATCACTTAGTGTTTGCTTGGTGTATCGCTTAGCGTTTGCGTGGTGTATCACTTAGCGTTTGCGTGATGTATCACTTAGCGTTTGTTGATGTATCACTTAGTGTTTGCTTGGTGTATCGCTTAGCGTTTGCGTGGTGTATCACATAGCGTTTGCGTGATGTATCACTTAGCGTTTGTGTGATGTATCACTTAGTGTTTGCTTGGTGTATCGCTTAGCGTTTGCGTGGTGTATCACATAGCGTTTGCGTGATGTATCACTTAGCGTTTGCGTGATGTATCACTTAGTGTTTGCTTGTTGTATCACTTAGCGTTTGCGTGGTGTATCACTTAGTATTTGCGTGGTGTATCATTTAGTGTTTGCGGTGTATCATATTGTGTGTGTGTGTGTTTTGCGTTATTGGACGGTGTGTATAGTGTATTGCATGGTGTATGCATGATGTGTGTGCATGATGTGTGTGCATGGTGTATCGGCATGTGCAGATGATCCATCCCGTCATATGTCGATTGTGGAAAGTGGCATGTCAGTATATTTACAGCCTGGTGCGTTATATCTCATCTGCTATGTTATGTCATGAAGCAGGCTATAACGTGCCATAAAATACCGTATACTGTGTGCAAAAACATGTTTCATGAGATGACATCTGAAAATACCAGCGTGAAAACGTATGTTGACACTGGATGACCTGACGCACTCTCCAGTGTCCATCATGTATGTGGCTACAGATATTGAATTACAATATGTAGTATTATAATAACGGAGGTCAGTAATGCGGTCAGGTCAGGTATTCGTCACGTAAGAGATAAAACGAATCTCAGTCGAGGTGTGTAAATACGGAAGGTGAATGCCCTCTGTGGCTGGGTACTGGCACCCAGATCCAGGACTGTTACATATATCCATCAAGAGGGTACTTCTGTCTGACGAGGAAGTGAGACCGGGCTAATATTGAAACATTCTGGCATGTATGTACACTCTACGTGGTATCACTATGTCAATATTTATATATGTTGTCATCAGTAATGGGCATGAAAGTCACTGAAGCGTTCGTACAATCACAGAGCGAGAAGTTTGAGAGGATACTTTATATATTTTCAACAAATTATGTTGATCGGGCCCAAAGAACCATATATATATGTTTATTTCATATAGGTTTTAGGTACCTGTATATGTATGACTATAGGTAGTGTAAAATGCGAAATGTCAGCAGTATATATATGAACACAATAGGGAGTGTATGGTGGGTTGTATCATCTGTGTATATATATCTGACTGTAGGTAGTGAGTGAGTAAGTTTAGTTTGACGCCGCTTTTAGCAATATTCCAGCAATATCACGTCGTAGGACACCAGAAATGGGCTTCACACATTGTACTCATGTGGGTAATCGAACCCGGGTCTTCGGCGTGACGAGCGAACGCTTTAACCAATAGGCTACCCCACCGCCCGCTATAGGCAGTGTAAGATGCGATGTATCAGCTGTATATATTGTAGCACTACGGCACAAAATATAAGAACACTACAAGAAAGCTGCATCATCCGTATATATACTCTTCAAAAAAAGAAACTTGACATAGGAACAATAAGAATTTTAGGAAAATATTTGATACAAACAAATCCATGCTGAATCCCAACATGTAGAGGAATGGTTGCCGACGACAAAAGGTTTAAAAAAGAAACGTTGAACAGAACGTAACGTTACACTCACGTTTGTAGTGAATCGCTAAAACGCACCCTACATGAAATGCACGCACATCATGAAATCGTGTATCACCCCGAGCTGGAGACTGTAGACTCTAAAGAGCCACATCAACGGTACTCAACATGCATTGCTTTAAGCCACTATAGACGACAAAAGAATGCCAAGACTGACAGAAGCTCAATGACAGAATGCCATCGGGCGTTTACAAGGAGGGGCATCGCAGCATGAGCTGGCAAGGTACTTCTGCGTGTCCAGATACTTCTCAGACCTTCTCAAACCTATGGACCCGATACAACAATACTGGGAGTGTTAATGACAGACCCAGGTCAGGTCGACTTACAGTTACCACCGCCACCTAGGATCGTACATCCGGTTGAGACATCTTCGTTCACGCACCACGACCGTAACATCCACAACAACCTAAATCCCTGGACTGCGCCGAATCTCCGACCAGACAGTGTGCAGTCGGCTACGGAAAGCTGGTCTTTTTGCCAGAAGACCAGTTCGACGTAACGTCTTGACACAAAGTCACCGGGCTGAACGTCTACAATGGTGCAGACAACGAGTGAGATGGCCGCGGACAAGATGGAAGGCAATTTTATTCTCAGATGTGTCTCAGTTTCTTCTCAGACGAGTTGATTGACGTTCAAGTGTACACAGACGTCGGAACGCACGTTACACCGGTAACTGTGCAGCAGGTCGATAGAATTGGTGGTGGAAGTGTCATGGTGTGGGTAGGTATCCGTCATAATGGCCGGACGTGGCATGTGTATTGAATGGGGTTCGCTATAGAGACGAGATTTTGCAGCGTCACGTCGTTCCCTTCATCAACGTCAACGGTGGATCTTTCCAGCATGACAATGCTCGACCTCACATTGCACGTATTTGCCAGGACTTCTTCCAGCAAAACAACGTTCATGTGTTACAATGGCCTCCTCGATCGCCCGATTTGTACCCCATAGAACATCTATGCGATACTCTTGATCGACGCTTGCGCCAGCGTAATCCGCCACCTCAGACACTACAAGAACTGCACGCAGCACTTCAGCAAGAGTATCAAAACATGCCTCAAGACAACATTCGGCATCTCCTTTCTTCTATGGGCCGTTATCGATGTTCATGGTGGTCACACCAGATACTGACATTTTACTCTGACCAAGTGGCTTTAATAGCCCTCTGTGGTTTTTACCAAACACTTTCATGATAATCATGTTTTGGAAATTTGCAAAATGATGGTTTTACTGTAATTAAGCAATGATGTCATGTTTGAACCAATTATATGCACTCAGTAAATAAACTCCAAAAAACAGCATGTCAAGTTTCTTTTCATGAAGAGTATATGTGAGCACTAACGACAGCGTATGTTGAGCTGTATCTGTAGTATATACATACAACCAGGTGAAGCCGACAAATAAGAAACTATTCGCACTAGCTGCATCAAGATGAATGTACTACCTGTGGTATAGCTTGCTATTTAGAGTGTAAGGGCCATGTGGGTAGCTTAGACCAGTATCAATGACGCTGAAATCTCATTCCATCAACTTGTGGACAACCAGTGTACATTGTACCCAGGCCAGAACGAGGACACACGGGTTACTTTTGATAGCCACGTGTGTTTAAGTAAACTCAACATGTCTGCCTGCAGCGATTCACAGCCATAAACAATGTGTACAAACTGTCTACCTACAAGGACATCTGCCAAGTGCAATAATCATATGCGCGTGTGCGTGTGCGTGTGAGTGTGCGTGTGTATGTTTGCTTGTGTGTACTAGAATCCAGGCTGTTTACATTATTTTTAAGTGCACTCAATTCTACATTTAACAGGTGTGTCTATATTCGAGTCCAGACTGTCTTCATAGTTAAGTGTGAGTGTACTCGGGTCTTGGCCTCGGCTTCTATAACAATAATTGCGTGAACTGGGCTCTGGACTGTTAATAGTTAACTGTATCGGTACTCGTCTCCAGAATGCTGTGTAGTTAATTGTATGAATACTTGTTTCGCAAATGAAGGCAGTGCCAACATTGTTGTCATGTTCTGAGTGGTTTATTGTTCACGCATCAGAAGGTTCTGGTGTCACATGACACGTGTCTGATTTTGGTCATGATGGAGTTCAGCCCCCAGAGTACGTGATGCTCCAGGTGAGTGGGCGATACCTAGATAATACACTGATTCCAGTGATAATATGCACACATAGTGAACCAATCAGTACTACAGAGGTCATAGACCATTGGGGCTGTCGTGAAACTAATGAATATATTCAAATAAACGGTTATGACGTTAGAAACTGTACACGAGGCTTATGCAGTGTGTATAACACGTGACCAATGGAGATGTAGTGTAATAATTACCGTTAACAGTGATGTCGTTATCGATATCAAAATTATCGTTGTTATTTAATTTGTTGTGAATATTTTATACACAATCTGTCGGATATGTCACCATGAAATCCATAATTCCAGAGATACGCTGTGTTCGTATTGTCTGGGTGCTGGTTTCATTGTGTAGGAGTAAGATGAATTACCACGAATAAACAATCAACATTCAACTTCCTCGGATAGAAAACTGATGAATTGTGCACGTGATTTATCCACTGCGGAAATAGCGTGAAAATATCCATTTGACAAAACAGGATTTAAACATTGACAAATATGAACGATTAGAAAATAACATACACCCCACCCTACACAGAAATTGTTATTATTAACATACCTGAACATCGGGAGTCATCCACGCAAACTACACCTGTACAGCACAGGTCCAACACTGGTACTCGGCTCACCCGACTGAATAGCGCTAATGCTCTCCACTCCCGTATGCAAATAAGCTGGTCTTCTTATTACAGGGTTTAGATGAATAGTACGTATTTGTTCAGTAAAAGCTTCGACGAAACTGACACCGACTGGGAAGGAACTCCGTACGGTCGTATATAAATTTATAATATGTATAACAGGACTTTTCCCCAACAAGCGCTTTGACGTCATGTGTGATTTATGTACATATTTCACCTCTAAATGGCCCGCGGCCATACAACCAACATTCTGATGTATTTGTCTGAGCATCGCTGTCTACAAAAAAATATCTTGAATCTACTAACATTTATAAACTCTCTTTTATATAGAATATTTACATGGCAGAAATGTAGCGTTACTCGTTGTCTAACAAGTATATGACTTGTAGATTGGCTGTACTTGGGCAACAGCTGATTAAGATCATAGTTTTCTTAAACATCTATATTTCTGATGTTTGAGGGGATACAGTTCCGACGCTATGTATGTGGCGTTTGCGCAACAAAAATATTCTTTTTATGTGTTGTGCCCAGCTCTTAAGGTGAAAAATGTGTCATATCAATGTGACTTTGAATATGTCTGGTTAGCACAAAGTGTTGAGTCATGTCCCAACTTTATTAATAACTTTAAACAGAGACGTATTGATATTGACAGTCAAACGTGGATAGAGAATTTACAAAAATATTCAAAGTTAAACTTTTTATGTCAAACTATCTATGTCATCCGAGCTGTATTTATTACTTATAAAGGTAAAAGTGTATAAAATTGCATTTTGTCGGTTTAGATGTAGTAATCATGGATTAATGATTGAAGAAGGCAGAAAACAAAACATTTCAGCATTAAACAGGCTGTGTCCTGTATGTATTATACTAAGAGAGGAAAACTAGTATTACTTCAGGTTTGAATGTTCTTTTATGATAGTTTAAGATCTGAACTATCACCTAGATATATTTGTAAAAATCAATCACCACAGACAATGCATTTTCTGTTTAAACTAATAATTCATTTATTATTAACAAACTTGCCAAATACGTATTTCTTGGTTTAAAGAAACGTGCTAAATTTTTAGATATTAAATATTCCAATATTCCAATTGATGTACACTTCCATTCACTGAACTGGTGCTCAATGTTTGTTTAAAAATGTATCATGATGTATCTGTATTATGGACCGGTGGCCTAATTATACTTACAATAAACTGAACTGCAGTGCCCAGCACGCGCAACGCAAAGTTGAACTAAACCTCAAGTGACATAGGTCTTTGTGCATCTTGTGAATATCCGGGAATGGATAAGCTGGGAAGTATTGAGGGAAGACGAGGGAAGGGTGTTATAAATAGATGTGTCGTAGAGGCTAACATGAAGGGGGGTAACTCGTGAAACCTTATCAACAGCTGTCACTGCCAACGCGATGACGAATTCAACGTGTACACCCGGAAGTGTTATTGACAATATGATTGGTCGAAACAATCGGTGTGCGTCTGCCGCAAACACGTTGTTCTGTCATGGTGGCTTGTGTATGTAGGAGCGTCCAGACTTCTCCACGTCTCTGTCAGTCTGTGTCCATCGTGTTACTCCATAAGTAGGCTGTTCCAACGCTGAGCTGATCCTGTGAAGAAAGTGGATGTCCAGGTAAGCTTGTTACAAGATGTCGGCCATTCTCCGCTGTTTGAAAGAGTTGTTTCAAAAGGGTCCGACATGACGGATCTTAAGGTACACGATATAGTTAGTTTGAACACGTGTTGGCAACCTGTTTAGTGGCATCACGCTCGGATATAAATCGGTGTGATCAGTGACGACAATAGACTTTAACACCATGTAGTCTCTGATCCACTGTACCCGCCTGCTCCGTATTGTTTACCTCCAGGAAGCTCCACACACTGCATGTATCAACCTACCAACCAATGTTTGGATGTTGTATTCATAATAGTTTTATCACACTCCGGCGCAGTGATGACTTAGCATAACATCACTGTCACAGGCTAATTTTGCATATCTCGTGACCGGACTTTTCTCTTGTTTGTAAACAAACGCGCATATTCATAATAAGAAGAGACTGGCCTTACGCAAGGTTTTCGGCGGGCTCTTCACAATGATTTACATTGTTACATAAATATTCTTCAACAACTGCGACAGTAAGGTTTATGACAGTACATATTTAGATATCAATTAAACTGGCTGCATCGTTTGCTCTCTGTTGGCTTCGATGACAGCACGTGGAGCCGTACAACCTATGAAAACAAAGGATCGAAATAGTGTTACATGTTTTAGGATATTTTCTCAGTGAAACTAAACCATTCTATCAAAGATGTTTAATTAGATGTGTAGACTCATAAAAAATAAAAGAGTTAAGAAATATGTAACATTATATTGAATTGACGGTGCAAGATGTGACGAATCGTTTCATCTTTCTGGCCTGTGGCAGAGGTACTATGCTGGCTGGCCGCATGGAACTCTGGGTAGGAGAGTGTAGTTTTATATTGTGTTGAGCGTGGAGTATGGGGTGAGACCAGGAAATATGAGTGAGAAGGAGAGCGGGACATAATTATGTGCCACGTATTTGGGACCTGGGAGGTTGTCAACTCATTGACTCCGTTTGCTGGTGTGATTGCAGCTCAGTGCCGGAATGTAGCATAAAACAAACGAATTTAAGTACATGTATAAAGTAGCTATGTCGGTGGTTTTGTTTAGTAACTATAAATTTAGCATCCATAACAACATTTAACTGGGCCTAACCCAATACGGATGAAAATATATCAATGCTTGCGATGACCATATAAAAGGGCTTTCTTTCAAATGTAAGTATTTATTTTCGTTAAACGCGTATTTCTAATATAATACACCCTCATATCGCGGGATACGGTCACTGTGATCTTCACACAACAGATGACTGACTACCATTATCTCGCGGGATACGGTCACTATGATCTCCAGAAAACAGATCACTGACTACCGTCATCTCGCGGAATACGGTTAATCTGATCGTCAGACAACAGAGGACTGACTACCATTATCTCGCGGAATACGGTTGATCTGATCTTCACCCAACAGAGGACTGACTACCATGATCTCCCGGGATACGGTTAATCTGATCGTCAGACAACAGAGGACCGACTACCATTATCTCGCGGAATACGGTTAATCTGATCTTCAGACAACAGAGGACTGACTACCGTTATCTTGAAATGAACATTCAGTCTTACAGAGGACGTGGAGGGAGGTATGTGATTTGTTAAATGGGATCAGTGCTTTGTGTCCGAAGATCACAGTGACTGTATCCCTGAGATGAGGGTGTATTTCTATTCCTTATTGTTACTACATATTTGACAAATATCCAGTCCGGGTGTATGATTGTCAGGTTCTGCGTCAAGTGTGCCATTGGCCGCTGACGTGACCGAGGTTCGGGAAGGTGATTAATCTACTTTCTCTGTAACAACTGAGTTCGATGTCATTTCCGGCCTTTTTTGTTCTTCATGGTCCCTTATAAGGCAATGGCTTCTCCCACTTTACCAATATTGGTGACTCCATTTTTACCCACAACACTCCCTGTTTACCCACAACACTGCTCACTCCATGTTTACCCACAACACTCCCTGTTTACCCACAACACTGCTCACTCCATGTTTACCTAAAACACTCCATGTTTACCCACAACACTGCTCACTTCATGTTTACCTAAAACACTCCATGTTTACCCACAACACTGCTCACTTCATGTTTACCCACAACACTGCTCACTCCATGTTTACCTAAAACACTCCATGTTTACCCACAACACTGCTCACTCCATGTTTACCTAAAACACTCCATGTTTACCCAAAACACTGCTGGGGCTGTGGGGTAGCCAAGTTGTTAAAGCGTTCGCTCGTCATGCCGAAGACCCGGATTCGACTCCCCACATGGGTACAATGTGTGTAGCCCATCTGGTGTCCCCCGCCGTGATATTGCCGGAATATTGCTAAAAGCGGCGTAAAACTAAACTCACTCACTTACAACACTGCTCATTCCATGTACCACAAATGATACATTTAGGAGTTCTAGAAGTATTGGATGATTAATGACTGATATTTTACATGATTGTAGCCCCATATATATTTCACATATTTCAAGGCATTTTATGTGATTGATTAGTAGCTTTCATTATCACGTGACCTGACTGTCATGAATGAGATGAAGGAAAGAACTTAATGCTGCCATTGTAACAAGGCTGAATATGCTTACCCTGATGTACAGGCACTGCGGTGACAACTACACCATTAGAGCTTCACCACCAGCTTCAGAAGCACCTGCTGTCATTATCACATCACATCAATGGCACAAGAACGCGTGTTTTTTTAATATTTTAATTCGGCGCATTTCAATGGAAAAGATTCTTATTCGCTGTGTGATTATGTTGACTTGTGATAGAATGGTTGACCAACGAAACGTGGCGTTACTTCTAGTTCATCAATCTACACAGTCCACAGACGTACGGCTATATTACCTGACACGGTAACCATTGCTGGAATTTTAGACCTGGTCCAGAAGTTACGATCACTTCCTAGAACAAAGTGTACTAGCCTAAATAGAAGAGATTATATGGTTCGGGGAAAACTTATATGCACTGTAGCAATGGAGCAATAATAGTATTTGTTCATTGGTTTGCATTTCTTATCATTACAATTGAGACAGTAGAAAGAAGGAAGTTCAAGACCACCAGGATCAAGTCTCCAGCAGGAACCAGGATCAAGTCTCCCACACCACCAGGATCAAGTCTCCAACAGGAACAAGGCACTTAACATCTTTGGCAGAAGTGGGGGGATCGGAAATACATTGCGTGTTGAAATTACAACCAGTCACCAACAGTAAAACACGGTTATAACGAACCAAAGGGGAAACTAATTCAGTTTGTTTTAACCGTAGGTCGACTGAAAGTGCCAGGGGCCCACCCGTCAGTTCATTATCAGCGAGCTCGTAGTTCACTGTACATTGAAGCAGTCCATCACAGTTAGCCATATAGGTTTTCTGCTGTATGTATTCAGTGGTGACAAGTTGTTGATATTTCCCAGATATTTGTGTCCAAATTGTTTGCTGAAATATCGCTGGGTTTGCTGATCTTTAAAATGGGAAAGTTTTGTTGCCTCGCTTATCTCAGTGTTATGTCATGTCACCTAGGTGTCCTCCAATACAATGGCTCTAATACCAATGTTGCTGAGGAAATCTGATGGGCCATTGAACACAAACGTTTTCCTGTTTGATAATGAACTTTAGGGGGGATATCACAATGAATGCTTATCTTATCCTGCTACAAGTTTGTCAAGGTTATATGATATTTGGTAGTTGTATATTTTGTGGCCTGACCGTAAGCGTTCAGAACCACTGTGAGTTCCGCAGCTGTGGATTTTGTTTAGTTATCCATATAATTCAACCGCCATATACCTGGAATATTGCTGAGTGCGGCGTAAAACTAAACTCACTCATATAATTCAAATGAAATGGCATAATCGTTTCTTCGTTGTTAATAGCGCAATTTTAGTCTTGGAATAACGTTAAACGAGATGAACTGTGAATCATTGTCACGATTCGTTAAAACACTTGCTGAATGACCAAACCTACGTATGTTGTCATTAGCTAGTCCAGCTGTATGACGGCGTTCTGTAAATAATCCAGTGAGTGAGTGAGTGAGTGAGTTTTTATTTAACGTCACATCGGCAAGATTGCAGCCATATCGTGACGAAAACATATTTGACATTGAAATGGAATGTATGTATATGATCAAAACCTGTCGACGAAGGACAGTAAAACAAATAGAATATCACAAATAGAATTAAAACTAGCGTGGAAAGTTAAAACTAATAGCACTATTGGGACAATACAATATAAAAACAGGTTATAGATCGCCAACAACAGAAGGTAGATCACCATACTAGGGGACCATGGTAAATAATTCAGAACAACACAGTCCTGTGACTGAGGTTACGAGTAACAGTCCACGCCGTCGGGGTACGCGATCAACGAGATTGATCGCGATCCAGAATTATATTGCAATTCTGCTGTACCTGTACAACATTAACGACAGAACCGTGGAAGCGCTATTGCTGCTTTTTGAGTTTGATGTTGACCCAGCCTATTCACTCCTCTTTCCATAATATATGAGGGCGCTGGGGTAACCTAGTGGTTAAAGCATCGTCACGCCGAAGCCCCGGGTTAGATATTCCCCACATTGGTATTCCGGTGTCCCCTGCCATGATACTGCTGGAATAAAACTCACTCCATAATATGTGTATGGCGTGTAGTTATATTTAGAAGATACCGATTTTCAAAGAATATTTTGGTCACTAAAACGAAGGATGCATGACATCATATTTCAACAGGTATTGGCAATGAGGGGCTCTGTGACGCAGAGTTGTGAGTAGTGAGTAGCCAGGAATTTCTCCCCATAGAAGAGTACATTCTTACACTTTTACTGCAAAGAGCTTCACAGTTTGACGTCATTAGAAACAACGTACATGAGTACAATGCAAACACACGGTTTAGGTAATACTGGACCACATACATTTGACATGTAAAATATTAACCCGTCAAGATGTTGAAATAATAAGGTCTACATGAATGTTTTATCAGGTAGACGGCGGTGATCAGCTACTATGAAGCTATGGAAGCGCCACCTGAGATAAACAACATGTCCATTGGGGTGCTGTCCCGAGCAACAAAATGGGAACTGTCTCTTCTATTAAATGATACATCAGAGACGCTTGTCGAAGGCCGAGTGATGGACTACCGAGGTCTGGCGGAGTTATACGGGAAAGGCTTCCAGTTCATCTCCGAGCTGGAGGAGAAGAGAGACCCAATGGCGACTCTGCTTACGTCGCTGACGGGGAAGGATGCGTTGTTGTCGATACTGTGGGAGAAGCTAGGACACCTAGGAAGGACTGACGTTCAGAGAAGATGCCGTGACCGTTTCTGTAAGTTGGGACTTTGTTTCAGATGATTAAATTTCATCCAATATGTCATATCCGTATTGCATATGTTATGTCGGATAAAACACAGAATCGTTCGTGTGATGTACACAACTATTTCAACACTGACCACCATTCTGATGACATGTTAAAGGTCTTTCCTGTTTGTCTGCCAGGTCAGGATGTGGTGGCATGGCAGCAGCGAAGGCCTAGAGACAGAGCAGAAGGTACGAGAGTTAACTGACTTCAAGACATCCTCAAAACATTTTATGTATTTGTTTCATGAAATGTCTCGAACTACAGGAGAACACCCATATCAGGGTCTTCTGATTGAAGGTTCGACACTTCCATACGACTTTCATATCTACAACGTTTGACGCACTGTAAATATTAGTTATTTCCTCGCTCAATCTCAGAATCTATTATTCTATTCTTCCTCGATCTGTCAGAAGGTCTTTATTGAACAGTTAAGGAACGGAATACAAATACAATATCCATTACAGTTATTATTCTGTAAACTGGAAGCAACAGTGATATTTAATGATAGTTACTTTCTGACTGACTTTGGATTTCATATAAATGCTTTCCATTCATTCTTCACTTCTATTCTGTGAACGTTTAGTTCTTATGTTGGTGTTCTGTAATGGTATTGTTATGACACATTTATGATTTAAAGCGGAGCAAATTAAGAATGAGAGGAAACGGAGCCAGATTCAAGCGTTCTTTAAAGACCCAGCCTTTGATCAACCCCAAGCTCTGGAGCAAAGAGAATTAACGAGTCAAGGTGGGGTGGCATCAGCCTCTTCAGGGTCAAGTCCTGTATCAAGGTCAAACGAGATGAATGCACGGTGCGCGGTGAAAAGATCTACAGTGCAGAAATCAGGCTCTAGACCAGTAAATCAGAAGATCCTCAGCACTGACGATGGTGAGTAGGCCCACTGGAGTCTTGAACTGGCATATCTGATGAAGCAAGCTGTGTTGTGTTTTTATGAACCTTTGTCATAATTGCAATGTTGTTAGAAACGCTTTTACTGATTAGAAAGTAGTTCAACCTCAATGACTTTGGCAAATGAATGTAAAATCGACTTTGGCTGTCGTTAGCAATAGTCTTTGATAATCAGTGTCAAACAATCGGTCGTTCCCACCCCTTTGGTTGAACTTCCGAACGTTGCGAGGTATGACCTTAACTTTGGATACCTGATGCCGTCAATGCCATTGCTGCGAGTGGCAGTATGTATTTGGTTGTATTGTCGTCCACGTACAGCAGCTATGAACTATAATGTTGTAGTTACCTACCTACTTGATTCTAGGAAGGCAACGCACCCACAGGAATCTTTGATTGCATTAACGAAAGAATGAAGCTGAACCTAATGGCCATTTGTTAGCAGTTTATTTCCATAAAGAGTGATGCAGACCCACTGAATAGAATATATGTTTTACAATTTTATACAACGTTTCTTAATAGCATTTAATGCTATGATATATATATTAATAGCATTGAATGTACATCAAAATTGTGTGTAAACAATTGTGAAGCAGTGAAGTATGTTTATATTAACATTTGAGTTGAAAGTATTTTGTTGAAAAACATTCATATTCTCTGTAGACTGTTGAAAGGTTATACTCGTCTCCTTTACAATTAGGTTACAATGCTTTCCTGGTATATATAATCGCGCTCAATCATAAAGCCATGTGAACTTCATGTGAACTTGTCCAGTGCAGCATTAAACATTTTTACATTTATCTCAAAGTGTTATCTTTTGTGATATCCCCAGTCCTGCATTTCTGTAACAAGTTGCGGAACTTTGCATTTTGGAAGAGACGAATACTAGGACTGATATTGCATTAATTGCACATAGGTTGCCAAATGAGTTTTGATGTCAGAATTCCGATGGCCATGGTTCAAGTCCCCAATTATTATCGTTGGTTTGTCAGCACCAAACATTTGCCGGCCACACACAAATCTTCAGGCAACATCACTTTGTACACAAGACAATTGCGTATTAACTAATGTGAACAAATCACGAGTGAAGTGAAAATACTTCTTTTGTTGACCCATGAAGATCCGGATTAGAATTATTCTTCAGTAACCCATGCTTGTCGTACGAGGCCTTTAACGTGGTCGGATGATTGGTTGACACATGTCATCGATGTTCATGATGTTGATCACTAGATTGTCTGGTCCAGACTCTGTTATTTACAGACCGCCGTCATATAGCTGGAATATTGCTGAGTGCGGTGTTAAACGAAATCGTTTTTGTGCTGCCTGTCTGGACTGGACATAGGTATCCATAGTGACAGGCATGTCCACCCACAGCGGTTATCATCAAATTACTGGTACCGTCTTCAATTCACGAGAAATGAGCTTCTTATAGAAAAATGGTGCTGTGTATTTAGACGGGACGACATGTGCTATGTACGACGCCTACATCAACTGCGCCGAGGAGGACATTGTTTTAGCGAAGAAGATGTTGTCCGTCCTTGAATCCTCCCCGTACAACCTACGGCTCTTCCTTCCTCAGCGGCAGCTGATGCCTGGTGGCTGCCAGATGGAGGACATTGCTGATGTTCTGAAGGATAGGTGAGGTGATATTCCAGTAATGGTGGGTGGTTTGGAGACAAGTGTGGTTGGGAGGGCAGATGTGACGGGATCGGCACGGGACCCGGTTGGGATTGGGGTTTTCGGAAAGCAACAACTTCCACAAAACATGCTCTACTGTAAACCCACGCACGGAAGTCAACAAAGTGGTAAATACCAATTTCACTCGAATATATAGCCCGGACAATACTGTTTTTATGAGTAGATACCCTCTCTCAAACGATCCGTGTCGACAATCTTTAGTTGATCCCTTAATGCAAAGGCGCAGGAACAAGAGGTATCATCTCTTAACGCCTTTTGCCACGAATCTTCTGTTCTCTGGGTAGCCACTGTATCATCCAGACCATTGCCTGGAGGGAGGGAGGTTGATGTGTGGTCAATGATGCTCCTGATTAGAACGACCCGGACACAGATCCCCTACCTGGGATGACACACCCATGTTGCAGCCTCAGCTGTACCTGTAACCCCATTGCCTTGTGTGTTTTTGATTATACTATCATTTATATAACGTATCTGACTGGTGTGCACTATTTCCAAATGCACAATTCAAATTATAACAGGTGAAAGTATATCAAGTGAATTAACTTTCACCATTTTCAATTTGGAATGTTTTCACATCATAATTATGCATCCTGTTTATGTTTTCAACGGACAGAACACAAAACAGTAGACTTCAACGATCCGATAGAGTATATTTAAATATTTTGAGCTAGGTGTTGCTTGGGAAGACGCCACTGGTTTCTTGTTCTCTCTCTCTTTATTATTCGTGACTGCAATATTTGTGAAGCATATAAACCCGACACGTGCCACAGATATTGATTTGTTTCTTCCGCCAGGTGTCGCCGTAAAGTCATCATCATCCTCACGAGAAACTATCTTGATTCAGAAGCATGTCACTTTGTCACCAACTTTTCCAGAGCGTTAGATCCAGGTGAGTTATTCCCGACAGGTAACTGTCCTGATGCTTAGAAGTGTATCATTCATCAGATTGCATGGGACGTTGTTGGTACCATGATACCATTCATCAGATGGCATGGGGCGTTGTTGAGTACCATGATATCATTCATTCAGATTGCATGGGACGTTGTTGGGTACCATGGTATCATTCATCAGATGGCATGGGACGAAGTTGGTACCATGGTACCATTCATCAGATGGCATGGGGCGTTGTTGGGTACCATGGAATCATTCATGAGATGGCATGGGACGTTGTTGGTAATATAATCGATAGAATAGTGCGGAATCGATATGAGTTATTATGATAATAATATAAGGGAAACCAAGTGTGGTATGTGTTTTCAGGACATGTATGTCGTGGTAGAGTTAAAAAACAGGAACCAAATACGAACAGAACACTGTGGCGGAGGATATTGATGACCGTGTCTTCTTGTTTTAACTTGTTAGTATTTCATTACGAACACAATAGTTAATTGCATTTGAATTGATAGTTAAATCATTCATTACGCCACTATGTATATCTACTTCGTTGCAAGCTCTATCACTGAAGCGTGTGTACGGAAACGGATCAGGACAGGAACGCTTCTTCTGAAATATGCTGATTATGATTCCGTCATTCATTTGTTTTGTCTGAATTGAGGAATCGAATGTTCTTCGTAACACGAGGACATCCAGTATGTCCATCGAACAGTGATGTCTCAGAACATATAGTGCGGAACTGATCATAAATGGAAGTTTTGTGTGTAGATTTAAGGATTCTATTGTTGCCATATATTTCCAGGTGCCAAACAAAAGCAGATCATCCCAATTCTATACGAAGACATCGGCGAGACGCCCCGGATGTTGACAGGGCTTCAGTTTATCTCCAAACAGAGAGACGAAAAACGAGGATGGTTCTGGTCAAGGCTGAGGGATGCCATAAACAATAACCAGGGATGATAATATTTCAGTCATATGTGTGATAATCATTTCAACAACGGGATGTATGTGACACGCATCCATGAGACATCTAATGGTAGATGCAATGTACTGGTAGTCACGATGAAGGACAAGTGAAGGCGATCCAGATGGAGGATGTGGTTTGGTCCAAAAGGAAAGGCGGTGATGATCCAGACCGTGGTTCAGTCACGTGGTACCATATTCCAGGGCGATATATATATACAATGCTTCAGTCACGGAGATCAATGTTCCAGGCACGCGTATCAATGGCACGTGTTTCGGTCTCGAAATACAGTGTAACAACGAATGTCTGCCACAGGAGAACATCATTAACAATACCAGTGATGTGACCGTTCGACTAGATATGCTATAAATGTTATATAAGAACCAACGTGTAATCCTTCGGTCGGAGCACATAGTTTTTTCTCTTGTATTCGAACGACCTCACACTGGTGTGGGCTTACCAAGTCACAAACAATGCTGCATCGACTGCTTTGTGCATGTTGAACGTCCGTGTTACATACGAAAAGGAACGCACACTTCCAGATAGTGCAGACATTCTATGTATCACGGAAGTGTTTCAAAGAAACACGGACATCAGCTAGGAAGATAAAATTGATGTTTCTTTGTTACTTTGAAAATAAAGTATTTCACATAGCTTGTTGACATTGTATGGTAATTCGGCGCTCTCGAACACCATTGCATCTTTTTCTCTACTGAACCACCACAACAACATCTACTCCCCACAACCATCACCAACAAGATCTCACCTCCCACCCTCACAACAAGATCTGCTCACCCCGTCCAATCACCCACCACATTGACAACGTACCCCTACCACCACTACAACATCCACCCCCAGGGCCCCCCACCCTACAACACCTGGGTATAGCATATCACAACATGACCCACTCCCCCACCACAACACGTACTCCCCGTCCTCCACCACTACAACATCTACCCCAGGGCCCCCTAACTCCTACAACACCTGGGTATAGCATATCACAACATGACCCACTTCCCCACCACAACACGTACTCCCCTGTCCTCCACCACTACAACATCTACCCCCAGGGCCCCCACCTTACAACACCTGGGTATAGTATATCACAACATGACCCACTCCCCACCACACAACACGTACTCCCCTGTCCTCCACCACTACAACATCTACCCCCAGGGCTCCCCCACCCTACAACACCTGGGTATAGCATATCACAACATGACCCACTTCCCCACCACATAACACGTACTCCCCTGTCCTCCACCACTACAACATCTACCCCCAGGGCCCCCACCCTACAACACCTGGGTATAGCATATCACAACATGACCCACTCCCCACCACAACACGTACTCCCCTGTCCTCCACCACTACAACATCTACCCCAGGGCCCCCACCCTACAACACCTGGGTATAGCATATCACAACATGACCCACTCCCCACCACAACACGTACTCCCCTGTCCTCCACCACTACAACATCTACCCCCAGGGCTCCCCCACCCTACAACACCTGGGTATAGCATATCACAACATGACCCACTCCCCACCACAACACGTACTCCCCTGTCCTCCACCACTACAACATCTACCCCCAGGGCCCCCACCTCTACAACACCTGGGTAGCATATCACAACATGACCCACTCCCCACCACAACACGTACTCCCCTGTCCTCCACCACTACAACATCTACCCCCCAGGGCCCCCACCCTACAACACCTGGGTATAGCATATCACAACATGACCCACTCCCCACCACAACACGTACTCCCCTGTCCCTCCACCACTACAACATCTACCCCCAGGGCCCCCCACTCCTACAACACCTGGGTATAGCATATCACAACATGACCCACTTCCCCACCACAACACGTACTCCCTGTCCTCCACCACTACAACATCTACCCCCAGGGCTCCCCACCCTACAACACCTGGGTATAGTATATCACAACATGACCCACTCCCCCACCACAACACGTACTCCCCTGTCCTCCACCACTACAACATCTACCCCCAGGGCCCCCACCCTACAACACCTGGGTATAGCATATCACAACATGACCCACTCCCCCACCACAACACGTACTCCCCTGTCCTCCACCACTACAACATCTACCCCCAGGGCCCCCACATCCCTACAACACCTGGGTATAGCATATCACAACATGACCCACTCCCCACCACAACACGTACTCCCCTGTCCTCCACCACTACAACATCTACCCCCAGGGCCCCCACCCTACAACACCTGGGTATAGCATATCACAACATGACCCACTCCCCACCACAACACGTACTCCCCTGTCCTCCACCACTACAACATCTACCCCCAGGGCCCCCACCCTACAACACCTGGGTATAGCATATCACAACATGACCCACTCCCCACCACAACACGTACTCCCCTGTCCTCCACCACTACAACATCTACCCCCAGGGCCCCCCACCCTACAACACCTGGGTATAGCATATCACAACATGACCCACTCCCCACCACAACACGTACTCCCCTGTCCCTCCACCACTACAACATCTACCCCCAGGGCCCCCAATTCTACAACACCTGGGTATAGCATATCACAACATGACCCACTCCCCCACCACAACACGTACTCCCCGTCCTCCACCACTACAACATCTACCCCCAGGGCCCCCCACCCTACAACACCTGGGTATAGCATATCACAACATGACCCACTCCCCCACCACAACACGTACTCCCCGTCCTCCACCACTACAACATCTACCCCCAGGGCCCCCCACCCTACAACACCTGGGTATAGCATATCACAACATGACCCACTCCCCACCACAACACGTACTCCCCTGTCCCTCCACCACTACAACATCTACCCCCAGGGCCCCCACCCTACAACACCTGGGTATAGCATATCACAACATGACCCACTCCCCCACCACAACACGTACTCCCTGTCCTCCACCACTACAACATTCTACCCCCAGGGCCCCCACCCTCACTACAACACCTGGGTATAGTATATCACAACATGACCCACTTCTACCACAACACGTAATTCTCTGTCCTCCACCACTACAACATCTACCCCCAGGGCCCCCACCCTACAAATACCTGGGTATAGTATATCACCCCTCCACCACTACAACATCCTCCCCACTCCTACAACACTACAACATCTTACCCCCCCAACACAGGCTCCCTCCATTCCTACAACATTCCTTCCTACAACAGTAGGGTATATCACAACATGACCTACTTCCCCACCACACATACCTCTGTCCCTCCACTTTCACTACAACATCTACCCCCAGGGGCTCCCCACCCTACAACACCTGGGTATAGCATATCACAACATGACCTACTCCCCACACCACAACACAAAACTCCCTGTCCTCCACCTCACTACAATATCTTAACACCAGGGTCCCTAATTCCTACAACACCTTGGGTAGCATATATCACAACATGTGACCCACTTCCACTACTACAACACGTACTCTGTCCCTCCACTACTACAACATCTACCCCCCTCTAGGGGCTCCCCACCTCTACAACACCTGGTATAGTAGTATATCACAACATGACTTAATTTCCCCACTACAACACGTACTCCTGTCCTCCACCACTACAACATCTACCCCTCAGGGCCCCCCTAATCTCTACAACACCTGGGTATAGCATATCACAACATGACCCACTCCCACCACAACACGTACTCCCTGTCCTCCACCACTACAACATCTACCCCCAGGGCCCCCAACCCTACAACACCTGGGTATAGCATATCACAACATGACCCCACTCCCCACCACATACACGTACTCCCCTGTCCTCCACCACTACAACATCTACCCCTAGGGCCCCCCACCCTACAACACCTGGGTATAGTATATCACAACATGACCCACTTCCACCACAACACGTACTCCCTGTCCTCCACCACTACAACATCTACCCCCCAGGGCCCCCCACCTCTACAACACCTGGGTATAGTATATCACAACATGACCCACTCCCCCACCACAACACGTACTCCCCTGTCCCTCCACCACTACAAACATCTACCCCCAGGGCTCCCCACCCTACAACACCTGGGTATAGCATATCACAACATGACCCACTTCCCCACCACAACACGTACTCCCTGTCCCTCCACCACTACAACATCTACCCCCAGGGCTCCCCACACCCTACAACACCTGGGTATAGCATATCACACATGACCCACTCCCCACCACAACACGTGTACTCCCCTGTCCTCCACCACTACAACATCTACCCCCAGGGCCCCTTAACCCTACAACACCTGGGTATAGTATATCACAACATGACCCACTCCCACCACAACACGTACCCCTGTCCTCCACCACTATACAACATCTACCCCCCAGGGCTCCCCACCCTACAACACCTAGGTATAGTATATCACAACATGACCCACTTCTACCACAACACGTACTCCTGTGTCCTCTCCACCACTACAACATCTACCCCCAGGGCTCCCCACCCTACAACACCTGGGTATAGCATGGTCACAACATGACCCACTTCCCCACCACAACACTGTACTCCCTGTCCTCCACCACTACAACATCTACCCCTAGGGTCCCCACCCTACAACACCTGTATAGCATATCACAACATGACCCACTCCCCACCACAACACGTACTCCCTGTCCTCCACCTCACTACAACATCTACCCCCAGGGCCCCCCACCCTACAACACCTGGGTATAGCATATCACAACATGACCTTACTTCCCCACCACAACACGTGTACTATCCCTGTCCTCCACCACTACAACATCTACCCCTCAGGGGGCCCCTAATTCTACTAAACACCTGGGTATAGTATATCACAACATGACCCACTCCCCCACCACAACACGTACTCCCTGTCCTCCACCACTACAACATCTACCCCCAGGGCCCCCCACTCCTACAACACCTGGGTATAGCATATCACAACATGACCCACTCCCCTACCACAACACGTACTCCCTGTCCTCCACCACTACAACATCTACCCCCAGGGCCTCCCCCACCCTACAACACCTGGGTATAGCATATCACAACATGACCCACTTCCCCACCACAACACGTACTCCTGTCCTCCACCACTACAACATCTACCCCCAGGGCCCCCACCCTACAAACACCTGGGTATAGTATATCACAACATGACCCACTCCCCACCACAACTCCTATAACAATTTCTGTCCTCCACCACTACAACATTCTACACTCCAGGGGCTCCCTACACCTTCTACAACACCTGGGTATAGCATATCACAACATGACCCACTCCCCACCACAACACGTACTCCCCTGTCCTCCACCACTACATAACATCTACCCCCAGGGCCCCCCTACCCTACAACACCTGGGTATAGCATATCACAACATGACCCACTCCCCACCACAACACGTGTACTCCCCTGTCCTCCACCACTACATAACATCTACCCCCAAGGCCCCCTTTAATTCTACAACACCTGGGTATAGTATATCACAACATGACCCACTTCCCACCACAACACGTACTCCCCTGTCCTCCACCACTACATAACATCTACCCCCAGGGCTCCCCCACTCCTACAACACCTGGGTATAGTATATCACAACATGACCCACTCCCCCCACCACAAACACGTACTCCTCTGTCCTCCACC